GGATTGTGAATGGTTGATGCAACTGTTTAAGGACATCGGAGTTTCTGTGAAATGTCCTGTACAAGTGTATCAAGACAATAGATCGTGTTTGGCTTTGCTGAACTCAGAGAGTTGCAAGCAAAGAACCAAGTATTTGCAGATTAAGCTACATCGTGCAAGGGAGTGTATTCAGAAAGGACTCATTCAGGTGTCCTACATGCCAGGAAATGAAATTCCTGCTGATCTGTTGTCTAAGGTTGTTAACAGAGAACAACTTAAGGTTTACGTACAAAGGTTGCAATTGGGTTGAACCACAGGTACTACAGGTTACACGGAAAGGGGAGGATGTTAGGATATTTCCGTTCCACCTTAAAAGGGAGCAGGCTTTGTGAGTCAGAGTCTGCGTATTTCCTGTTCACAGGATGTTTATGTTTTCTGTTGCTTTCGTTTTCTCTGTGTCGCAGACACTAAAAGCAGGCAGTCATGTTTTTCTGTGTTCTGATCAACGCTGAATAAACTTGTAAATAATGCTCTCCTGAGTGCAACTTTTGGCTGTGCTAATTGCTGATAGAGTGTGCATGAGCTCTGGAATGTGTACAAGATATTTTCTAGAAACTCATGTCGCTGCGTGCCTACGGGAGGTCGATGGATCGTCCGGCAGACGGCTTGGGGGCCATGATGGACTTTATCTCCCTGGCAGTATCCCAACACTTTCAACCAGCATAATGAAGAAGAAGAAGAGTTGAGGACAGGGTGGCATTGCTTGACTTTAGTAATTTCAGTCTGTACTTTAAAAAAAACAAAAACACTTTTGTGATAGAAATTGTCTGCCAGTCCTGCCCAGGTTACGCACGTAGCCATGCCAAAAGGAAAAAGGAAAAAAAGTCCCATTTCTTTTTAATATGAATATACACTGGGTAGTAATAATAATTTATTTGTACCCCACCCATCTGGCTGGGTTTCCCCAGCCACTCTGGGTGGCTTCCAACAAAGATTAAAATTACATTAAAATGTCACACATTAAAATCTTCCCTGAACAGGGCTGCCTTCAGATGTCTTCTAAATGTCAGGTAGTTGTTTATCTCTTTGATATCTGATGGGAGGGCATTCCACAGGGCGGGCGCCACTACCGAGAAGGCCCTCTGTCTGGTTCCCTGTAACTTGGCTTCTCGTAATGATGGAACTGCCAGAAGGCCCTCGGCACTGGACCTCCTTCAGGTATACTGGGCCGAGGCCATAATTTTTAGCATGGTTGAAGCTGCTGTTAAGAACTTGAGCCATATGATTGAGGGGGGGGGATTATGATTCTATCCTGAGCTCTTTGTGTTCTGCTGTATGATGGGAAGTTCTGCCTTTGCACATGAGTCTAGGAATGTTCAGTTCACATTGAGTTCATCATACCCTGACCTGTTCTTAACGCATTGTTGACCACATCTACGGAATGCGATTGTTATGCTCTTTCAAGTCATGCAATATCAATCATTAGTAATTGTTTAACAAGGAGGATTTCATACCTGTCTAACCATGTGTTCCCTTTCCCAACCTTTAATCTATTGATGATTAATGCCTATATTCAACCTTTGCATTGTATTTGTGTTAACCAATCAGCAACAAGCACATATGTGGCAATGCTGTAATATTCAATAAAAGGGACTCTCCAAGACATGCTCGGGAGATGCCTCCCATATGACACTTGTCACTCGTCTGTCGTTTATTTCAACCCAACAGCTGTACTCCTTTGTATCATACTGTAACATCTTGTTCTGCTTCATGATTAATTTGTAACTTTTCTTAGATTGAATAAGATCGGGGGAGCGGGAGTTATGAATAAAGCACATGCAGAAACTGGTCGTAGGACAACATCCTGTACAAATACAACACAATGGATGTGCTTTGGGTACAGTGAGAAGGGAACTGGGGAAAGCTCTTCCATGTTAGTTTTCAGTGTAAGTCTCTGTGCTGTACCCATCTCTGTTATTGCTCTTTGTTAAAATTGTTTTATGTGAGGTCAGAAGCAAATGAAATGCAAAAAAAGCGAACAGGGTTAATTAACCCACAAAACAGTCGTTGACAACACATACAAGCTGGCGTTGGTTAAAGCTTATGCTGTAGTCAATTAAGCAGACTCAATAAAGCATAATGAAGTTGTTTTTAGTCTCAGCCTGAGTGGGCTTCCACATGTTTTGTGCAGCTATAGACTAAGAGGGCTGCCCCTTTGGCAATTATTCAAACATATTTGTAAGCCTCTCTGGAGATCTAAACAGTGCAACTTTGTTAAAGAAACACACAAAAGCCAAACACAGGAATGCTCGAAGCACAATTACAGTTGTGCAAGTCCTGCTCCCAACATGCTCACATATGCTCCCCCTCACCCCAGTCCCTGGCCTTCACTTTGTTGGGCAGGAAAAATGTGTGCAGGGGGCTTCTGCTGATGTTAGCTTTATTGGGCTCCCTGATTGCACGGAGAATTCTCCTCACATGCATGCTAATCTCCTCTGGACAGCACAAAGAAGGTTGGGGACTGAGGGTATGTTGGCCTCGGGGACACTGTGGGCTCGACGAGTGCATGCCCCTGTTGCTGCTTTGAGCTTTTGTGTATTCAGGTGAATGCCTGAACAGTGCCTTGAGGATCTGGAGAATCCTTCAATCCTTCAATGCTCTGCATAAATTTGTCTGATTTCATTTTAACTATCTGAACCTCTGGCAGTCTGTTCCACTTGTTATTTGTTGGTGAAGAACTGCTTGCTTTTGATTGCCCCATATCTGCTTCCAGTCAAGAGCCTAAACTCCTTATCGACAAATCCTTATCAAGGCAGAGGGAAGAGAATGCACACAGTGCAAAATGTAATAAACTTCTATCATAAACACCCCCGGTTTTCCCACCTCCGAAGCGAAATGCCTTGGATGAGAAATGTTTCAGCTCCGAGGGGGCGTGTACAGCAGCCTTTTGCTGCGGCGCCAGCCTCTCCTCGGCCTCATTCTTCTCCATCGTCCCGTCGCGAGTCGCCCACCCTCCACTCCCTTTGAGCTCAGGGTCTTAGTTCATTGGCCTTGCTATGGACCTTAGGTTGGTCGCCCTGGTTGTCCGGGGGGGCTGGTAGGAATTTTTCCATTTGGCATTAGGCTTTTTGGTTTTTTCGCCTACCTCGTAGCAATCGTCACAACTTTTGTGGTATTGGTGGGTAGGTTAGGCATTGGAATAATATGTTGTGGTGTGTCGAAGGGCTAGGTGTGGCCATCGCCTATGCCTTCAATTTTTTGGGTATTCCGTTAAAGGAATCTGGCGGTCGTGTACTCTGTCCAATGCCTGCTTGGCGGGAGGCCATGGCACGACCCTCGGTGACATCAGGGGAGAGCCTATAGTTGGATTAGCATCAACAGGCTCCACCTACTGGTGAATAAACCCCCTTGTTTTAGACATCCAATGCCTAAGCCAATACCTTTTCACTGCTGTAATCAATAAAGTTGTGGCCTTTTCTTGCCCATTAACCTTATATCACGTGTCCTTGCGTATTCATTTCACATTGCGGGGGTCGGGTCCTCGAACCACAACTAGATGCAGCTGGCAAGCCATGACATTACCTCCCCCCACCCCCCATGTGGGCCAAATGTGGCAGGTGGGCAGATTATCTACATGTTAATACTCTCAAAAATTCTAGAAGATAGGTGAAGAAATACAGTGGTACCTCGGGTTACAGACGCTTCAGGTTACAGATGCTTCAGGTTACAGACTCCACTAACCCAGAAATAGTACCTTGGGTTAAGAACTTTGCTTCAGGATGAGAACAGAAATTGCGCAGCTGCAGCGGGTGGCCCCATTAGCTAAAGTGGTACCTCAGGTTAAGAACCGTTTCAGGTTAAGAACGGACCTCCAGAATGAATTAAGTTCTTAACCCAAGGTACCACTGTACTTCCAATTCTATGATTCCCTTTGCAGAAGTTAGGTTTATTCTCCCTCAGCAAGTATTCTCCAATATTTAATCATTCGTTTCAATTATGCTTTCCACCAATTTACACAGGACAGATGTTAGGCTAATGGGCATGCAATTTCCTAGCTCTCTTGGATCTCTTATTGGTGATTTGATGTTAGGTTGGCTACTTTCTAGTCTTCCAATACAGGTGCTGGCATTAGTGATCACTTGCATATTTTTCTTAGAAGATCAACATTCTTACATTTCGGTAATTTCAGAACTCTTGGCTGCAGATTATCTAGTCACAGTGATGCCAATTTTTAAATTTTCAATTTCCCCTAAAATTTCAGATTTAACAGACGTGACTTCATCGTGCCTACTTGATTGGTTTCTTCTAGTCTTCTCCTAGAAACTTAGTGATCAAGGCATAAGAATCTGTCCAACATCTGCTGTGAAGACTGACACAAATAATTTGTTCCACAGGGTGCAGGGCATTTGTGCCACCCCAGATGCCTGAGCCGCTAGCTACGCCGCTGGAGGTGAGCTCCTGTTGCTCTGTCCCAGCTCCTGCCAACCTAGCAGTTTGAAAGCATGCCAGTGCAAGTAGATAAACAGGTACCACTGCGGTGGGAAGGTAAAGGGCGTTTTCATGGGGCCTGGCTTCCGTCAGTGTCCCGTTGCACCAAAAGTGGTTTAGACAATGCTGGCCACATGAGCCAGACAAACGCTGACTCCCTCGGCCTGAAGCAAGATGAGCACCGCACCCAATAGTTAAGTTTGACTGGACTTAACCGTCCAGAGGTCCTTTACCATTACCTTTTTATTGTGACAGTGCTGAGTTTGGACCTTATGATCTGACTAGGACTGTACATCCCTGAGGGGCTAAAGAGCATGACTTCCCCTGCTGTCTCCAAATCTGACAATCAGCGCTTATATATTTCTGCCCCCCTTTTATGTCTCTGCCCTCCTTGGGTTCTCCTCCCATCAGAGGGCTGAAAAATGAGTCTAGTGCATCAGTTTGTTTGTTTTTATAAAAAAAGACACAGCTCTCCAGTTAAAGGTAAGGTTTAATAGAGGACAAATTCATAAGCTAGCAAATCTGCAGGAATGTTAATGAAATATGCCAAAATTTCCTTTGCAGCAATAGAACTTAATGTCATTAAGTGCAGTGTCATCTTCGGGCCCTTGTGGAAACTCGACCTTTGTCTGGATGCCACATATATAGGAACCGGTGTGGCAGGGAGAGCTCCATGGGCCAAAGGTTCCCCATTCATGCGAGTTGCCTTTTAGCTTGGAGTCATCGCTACACATGAACATGATGTTGTTGGCTGCAGTGTCATCCCCAAGTCCTTGCGGTACTTCCACTCTCAGGGAGAAGGCCTTAAGCTTGGATGGTACAGGGCAATACTGAATCTCAGACCATGCTCCCCATCTGCCAAAGATGACAAAGCTGGCTTGAGAAATATATTCAGATTTATTTATTTTTGATTTTAAAGTTTGTAAATTGTTTATTTCAAAATGCAAAATTGAAAATTACAAAAGATATAAAAGAGAAATATATTCAGATTTTTATATCAGCTGTACCCTTCCGTTTCCTCTGTCTGTACCCACCCACTCCTCATCCCCTCAGATCTGCTCTAGAGAGTTGGAAGGGGCTGCAGGAGGAGGAAGAAGAAGGGGAGGTCCCATTGCTCATGGGATATTGAATGTTCTCCCAAATTCCTGATACCTCAAATGTAATTAACGAGAACATACAATTGAAGAACAGCAGATCAAGACCAAGGAAAACTGAAGCAATTTTTGGGGGGAGGGGGATATCTCCTTCCTCTTGAGTCAAAGCACAAGGTCAATACCACCACACCAAGTCAGATGAGAGCCTCCACAAAGTTTCGTGTTCATCTGTTTCTGTACTTTTCTGTATAGCTTTATGTTTTCTAATGTAATATCTCTGTTTCTCTTTGATTAAAAAGGAAAGTGAATCCCTACTACTTGCCCCCCCCCAAAGGCCCTGAATCCATTTGTCTGTAATTTGGCAGGCTTAATAAACCCTCTTGTGCCTGCGTATTTCATCCACTTGTCCAAAAGGGGACAAAGCTATAGCCATTTTTATATTTCCCATTTCAATGAGTGAGGAAACAAAAGAGCTTCGTTTTATACAGTTTAGTGGTCCAGCCTAAAACATAGGCTGAAGAGAAAAAAAGGGGGGGACAGGGTGACTCAGATACAGATTTTTTTAATAATGATAATCTAGGTTAGGTTTGCCTGGCTGCATTTTCCCTATATTTTCATTTTCTCCTGGGTTATTTGACCCTATTTTTCTAAAACAAATGGGGGAGGCATTTTCTATTAATATCTTCACAATGAATGCTTAAAACTGCTGCTTTACCAAAAAAAAACCCTCAACAAAACCTTGCTAAAGTTTTTTTATTTAACTTTGTCCAAAGCCTTGTTATTCATGCAGTGTCTGTCTGCTTTACCACACTACTGAGTACAAAGAGTTATCTGAGCCACTGCGTACATTCCAGAAATTATGGAGCTGTTTTCATTCTGCCTTTTCGAAGATGTAACTGGAAGCAGCAGAGTCACAGTGCTTCCTGGTATGGGAGAGAGTTGGAGCAAGGCAGAGGGGAAGTTGCCACGGCACAGCAGTCTGGGACTCCTGGCAGCATGACTGTACCATGCCATTGTCCCTGCCTCCTCACCCTTCCTCTCTCCCTCCTGGCATTGTATCTCCATCGCACCAGGCAAGCCACTTCTGGGTATAACTCTCAATAAGAGAGAAATGTGAGGTGAAGTTATTTCTGGTTTGCTAGGTCCTGGCCAGATCAGTTCTTTTGGACCTAAGAAGAACGGAGGCCAAACTGTCTCTCTGTAGAGCTGATTGGTCCTAAGGCAACTTCCAAACATTGGTTTTGTCCAGGTATCGTAACCCTGTGGTTGGTGACTAGAATGTAGTCATCCACACAAAGGCAGAGGAAGTGGATTTGTCATCTACTGGCCACAGAATTTATGAACCCTCATTCCCACTGCTACTAAAATAAAAAGCGAAGAGGGAGCAACTTTTATATATATATATATATATATATATATATATAAATAACAAGATTGGCACAGGGGGAAAGCCTAAATTATGGTGACAGCTAAAAAAAAAGATAGAGATGCTCACTCCCCAACAGCGGACGAAATATATGAATCATCATTGCAGAACAATCGGATGCCATTTAGGGCTGTATCATCGTCTTTCCTTCCACCTCCTTGATATGGTTCCACCTGGTGTCAAAGAGGAAGAGACACTGTGATAAAGTAAGAGCCCTTTGGCACTCACTTGGGCTACCAACATGGTGGGGAATTGAATATAATCAGGAGGGGGGGAGACTCAGAGTGAACAAAAAGTTCCCTCAAGCACCCTCCAAAGGAAGAGGATTGAGTGAAATAGGCTTGTTAAAGATATAAAGTCGAAATGTGTGCCCTTTCATGTAAGCCTGAAATACTAAGAAACTGAAAAGAAAATTTGGGCTCACAAACTGAATTCTGTATTATAGTAGCCTATAGGTCTAGGGCAGCCCTGAACAGGTTAGAGGGACTCCCAGGACTCCCATAGAAAAATGTCTTACAAGACAGATAATCAAATAATAATAATAATAATAATAATAAATTTATTATTCATACCCCACCCATCTGGCTGGGTTTCCCCAGCCACTCTGGATGGCTTCCAGCAGAATATTAAAATACAATGTTTCATCCAATATTAAAAACTTCCCTAAACAGGGCTGCCTTCAGATGTCTTCTAAAAGTCTGATAGTTGTTTATTTCCTTGACATCTGATGGGAGGGCGTTCCACAGGGCAGGCGCCACTACCGAGAAGACCCTCTGCCTGGTTCCCTGTAACTTCGCTTCTTGCAGTGAGGGAACCACCAGAAGGCCCTTGGAGTTGGACCTCAGTGTCCGGGCTGAACGATGGGGGTGGAGACACTCCTTCAGGTATACTGGCCTGAGGTCATTTAGGACTTTAAAGGTCAGCACCAACACTTTGAATTGTGCCCGGAAACGTACTGGGAGCCAATGTAGGCCTTTCAGGACCGGTGTTATGTAAGAAAGGATTGTGAGCAATTCTGCGGGGGAAAGATTCTAAGAAGATTCAGAATTGAGCTGAAGAACAGTGTTGATGCCAGTACATTGAAATAAGGGCATTTTAGTAAATGATCGTTGTAATGCTCCCCACCCCCTTGACTGTTTTATATGCTGTTCTAGGAGCCTGGTATGTTTTGAGTTTATTGGACATGGTGAATCGGAAGTGATTTCACCTTGGACTTCCTTGCTAGCTGATGCTTTTCCCCCCAAATCAAGGACTGGCTGGACTGGCAACTGCCTCAATTTGCCTAGTGATAGGGCTGGCCCTGCCTGCCATTCCTAAACGAACACAATTTCACAAAGTTCTTCCTGCCACCACCAGATGGCACCTGGGATGGGCTGTAGCTCAGGGGCAGAGCATATGTTTTGCATGCAAAAGGTCTCAGATTCAGTCATTGGCATCTTAAGCCTGGAAGAGTCTCCTGTCTGACACTCTAGACAGATGTTGCCAGTCACGGGAGAACTGACCTGGGGCAGGTAACATGTGATGTTCTATATTCTCTAGCATTTCTCTGATGAAAATAGGGGCATCCTAAGGAAAAGCGGGACATTCTGGGATCAAGTCAGAAACCGGGACAGCTTCTGTAAATCGAGGACTTTCCCTGGAAAATAGGGACACGGAGGGTCTGCACTGCTAGCTCCTTCACAAACTACAATTCCCAGGATGCACTGACAAAAGCCATGCAGGTTAAAGTGGCATGCAGCCAATGTAAGTTTGCAGTGTTGATTAATGTTTTGCCAATTCTGGGCCTGTTTTCTGGTTCACACTAAGATGCTTTCCTGGAGATGAATATAACTTTGTGGGAAGAAAAGAGGGCAGAAACATCAGAGATAACCAGTTGTGAGGTTGTCTGGAAAGCAGAATACAAATCAAGTTTTACCTTCAGTGAGAAACCAGTAGCAAAACCAAAGGAACAAAATTCTTTTTTCCCCCAAAGACCCCATGGTGCTCCATTTAGCACGGAGATGACGGAGTCATAACCTCGAGCCTCTACTTCCCAGAGGTAGCAGAAAATGATTGGGAAGACCACAGCAGTGATGGAAACATCCATATTGAGGAGTGCTCCTTTGTCCTAGATGTGGAAACATGGTTGAAGAAAGGTAGCCATGAGAACATGTAGCCTGAGAATTTGGGCAGGGTGTCTTCATGAATCTAGTATCAAACATGACAGGCAACAATTGGTCTTTACTATCAGTGACATAGTCACCATGTGCACATTAAGGGCATCAGCAGAAGGTAGCATGCTGGGACGCAGAAGCTTCGCTGACCTCCTTGCAGATGTGTCGCTGCTGCTTATCAGGAGGAAGAGGAGTGAGGCTGCAGGGAAGATGGTGCAGTGCAAACAATCCAGCAGAGCTAATCTTGTGCTCCTTGTCAGTCCATTTGACCTGTACCACTCTCCCTCCTCCCTCTTTTCTCTTCCTCCTGCTTCTAAGTAAGCAGCAGTGACTCATCTACCACTGCAGGGAATTTTTGTTTTATCCTTTAGAACAAGGGTGGGAAACATTTTCTTCAGCATGAGACCCTGATCCAAAACTGGCCCACCCTCTGCAGGCCATTTTTGAGAGTTAGGCAGGGTGGTTTATCAGTCTCCAGACATCATGAGGTGACAACTTCCTGTCAAAAATGGCCTATGGAGAGTGAGAAAGGTTCCCAGTAGTCAGTCCCTGATGAGGACAATTTCAAAGGGGTTGGCTGTCTGGCACAGGCATTGAACCCCACTTTGTCCACTTGCGAGTGGCAAAATGTCTTTGGCCATCCATGGGTGAGTTGGCTGCCAAAGAGAGAAAAAAATTGGCGGAGAGGCTTTGTGCTTTGAGCCTCAGGTCCCACCTTGGCCTTCTGCCCAGGTGTCTGAGCAAGTTACCTGTATTTTAGTCTGAACAGTTTGCTTTTCTGCTAAAACAAGTAGCCTGTTGCAAGAGTAACTTGGGTAATTGCCCAGACTATTATTTGGGGGCTTGCCACATCCACCCACCCAGCACCCATTTTGTGAAAGTGCCCGTGACACCATCTCAAAATTCCAAATGTGTCCACGAGCCCAAAAAAGTTGGTGAGGGCAGGGGACAGTCTGCTCTAGGTACTTCAATTTTCACCAAAGGAGATTCAGAAAGCTCCACCTTAGTCACTCGTTTGCTATGTTCCAGTGCATCCCCCCCTTATGCTTTTATGTTACTGAAATGTTCCATGCTCCTCATAAGATTTACAACCCCTATTAGTAGAAGCCATATCAGAAAGGGTCACTACGAGTCTCATAACAGAGAACTCTGGGTTCTGTTCCGCCTAATCAAAGAAGCACGGTGGTTGTTCTCGTTGTTTGCTTTTGCAGCCTTAATTACCAGAAACTGCACTTGTGACCTCCCCAGATCTGATACTAGGACGATTTTACATCGCTGCTCATCAGGGCATGTTATCACACAAGCAGTGTTAGAAACTAATCTATGAAAGCTAGGAGCTAAATGGCCCCTTAAACCTAGGTTAGGGTGCAATAATGGAATGTGTAGGTGTGCTTTTTTGTAGCAAGAATACAAAGCTGAAAATGAATGAGCTGCAGCTAAAATATTATTTCACATGGTCTAGTCCTTCCCCTGCCCACCCCCCTAATATTCTTCAGAGGGTCTCTTCTCCAGTCTTCACAGAGTAGCTGGAAGTGGGGAGGCAGAAAAAGGTCCTCCTTTGCTTCCACTCTGCTCTAATGAAATTCCGTCGCAAAATGTGCGTAGAACAATGGGAGTTTTTAATACCGCACACAAGTAGGTTGCTAACCACTAGCTAACCACTAGCATCCCTCAACTGATCATTCTCGGCTATAAACCAGCAATATGGGGATAGCTTGACCACCGAAGTCCATGTGATGCTGGATTACTGCAATGCGCTGTATGTAGGGCTGCCCTTGGGCCCAGTTCAGAAGTTCCAGACTGCTGATATGGGCATATGACTGACAACATGTGACACCATTGTTAAAATGATGAATGACTTAATCTCTGTAGCCCTCCTATAGGCACTGTGAATGAAATATATCTTGTGCACAATGCCTCTGATTCTAAGCAGGTTGGAAATGCCCCTACTCTGAATGGGCAGACCCTTTGGGATTTACCTTCTCCCAGCCAACTGGGGGGGGGGGTGAGGCTTCTGATAAAGTCTTTGAAAAGTGCCCCCTACCTTATAAATAAATAGACGTAAATAGCTTCATTATGCTTACGTTGCCAACTTGAATATGTTTTTGTTCAGGAAGGCTTTCCTTGAGGAAAGTTATTTATAGAATATTAATTATACTCTTGCATGGGGCTTCCCTTCTGTAGAAACAGGTTCATTTGTTCATTTGTTTTGGATTTTGTTTCAAGCACTTTTATGCCTTTTAGAGCTTGCATTGTTTGGATTTTATCTCATTTTTATCACAATGCTAACCACTCCAATGGCTTCAGGCCATTCTAAATGTGTAGGAGAAAAATAAAGTCAAATAAACATATTGAAAGAACACTGCTGGATTTCCACCACTTGTATAATTCTGGCTGGGTTCCATTTAGTTATCTATTCATCCCCCCCCCCCCCAGTTAAAATATAAGATTTCTGAACCACCCTTTACCACAGAGATGCGTCTGGAACATTCATCATACCACTTCTCATATGCTGAACTTGAACCTATTTATATTTGTTTTCATCTGATCTTAATGCCGTCATTTCAAATTGCTGTAACCTGCCCTGTGACCTTATGGTAGGTAAGAAATTTAAAATAGATAATATTAATAGCAATGTCCCAGGTCAGGTTGGCTACAGGAATATAATAGATGGTTACAAAACCCAGTTAGACAATTGTCATTGCAGCCCTCGCCCTGCCTTCTCCCCAGAGCAAGCAGAACCATGCGATTCTACTTACCGTCTCACGGCAAAGCAGCCAAATATTCTGCAGCCAGAAAGAGAGCGAGCAAGGAAATGTGAATATGGGCCCGAGTATGAAAAGGGGACAGGGCAATGGGAAGTACAAGTCGTCTGTCCTTCACCTGCCCAGCTGTCATGCTGCTTAGCAGAGCAGATGAAAACCTACCTTTGATCTGTGCCTACTGCACTCCCACTACTAGTTGCCTTTCATAAGTGCATCCAGACCAAGGAGTCCATTGGCATTTGAAGTGGGCATGGCTGTTTGAAGCAAAAGGACATATTTTAAGGTGGGATGGTTGTGTTACGTCTAGCACCAAAGCCCAGCATTGTCTACCGTGCTTTACAGCAGGGCTCTGGAGCCTTTTTTAGCTGGAGGGCCACCTGCCAAGATGGGTGGGCAAAAGGAGGTATAGCAAAAAAAAGAAAAAGAAAAAGAAAAAGAAAAAGGCAAATGTTACCTTTGTATAGTAGGCTAGTTTTTACACACACACACACACACACACACACACACACCCCTCCTTGTCCACTGCAGTGGTTTTCAACCTCTTTGAGTCCATGGCTCCCTTGACCAGCCACATTCTTTCTGTGGCTCCTCTGTGGAAGCCATTTACATTGTGGTTCAGGGCACATGTAAATGGGAATTTTCCCGTTCCACCCCCTTTTCCCCTCTGAACTAGGGTTGCTATATTTCAAAAAGTGAAAATCTGGACACAAAAGCTGTTGACCTCTTTATGGGGGGGGGGGGCAAAATTGTTGAGCCCTTTCTGAACACCAGAAATGCATCTGGGTAGTCACCTTTTGTACGATGCAGTGGGCCTCTTCTTACATTCTTCTGTATCCATTCATCCTTCTCTGTTCCCTCTCCAATCCTATGGTTGGCCTCCTATCCAGCAGCCATGATGGAATTGCCACAGCAGAGATTGTGCTGTGTGTGACTTTAGCATTCATTCTGTTATTAGTAAGTCAGCAAACCAGGAAGGCTGGCTGAGATTTTGCTTAACAACCAAGCAAAGTGGCACGACTCTCACTGAGGTAGCGAGTGCTCTGATTGGCTGTGTAGATCTGAGGGAGTTCCCCCCTGTTATGTATAGTTGATAGCCTTCCTGCTATGTCCGTTGCCTGACCTAAGAAAGACAAAAGCCTCTCTGTTGCTTTCTCCTCAGGTTATATAATGCTGTGTTCCGCTTCCTCAGTAAAGTATTACCAAGATTAAAATGGCTTTGCTAACAAGCCATACATGAAGATTTAAGGCACAGTGCATCAAAAAAAGACACCCAGAACTCTTCATTGGGAATACATTTTATTATTAAGTTTCACATCATGGAGCATTGGGGCACAGGGAACTGAGCTATTGTTGTGTGAAACCCACATGGTTCAGTCGCAGCAGTAGAACTTCACATCGTTAAGTCCTGTGTTGTCGCCTTTTTCCATCTGAGGTTCCGTTTTGGTACGAATTCCACATATGGCACCTTGAGGACAGATTGCACTCCATGGGCCAAAAGTGCCCCAGTTATTTGAATGACCTGTCAGGACAGCCCCATGTTCGCAGCTGAACCTGATATTGTCAGCTGATGTGTCATCCAAAAGAATTCCTCGGTGTTCTTGTACTCTCAGAGAAAATGAGATTAGACGGCCTTTAGGACAAGTCTCAGTCTTTGTCCACTTCCCCCACCTGACAAAGATAGTGGTGTTAATACTCTGAAGAAATGTTTGCTCAAGTCACGTCTTCACCATACATTCAATGCCCATCCAGCACATATTTGAAGCACATGGCTTCCCCCAAAGAATTCTGGGAGCTTTGACTTTGAGGAAATATGGAAGGTACAGTCATACCTCGGGTTAAATGTGCTTCAGGTTGAGCATTTCTCAGGTTACACTCCGCGGCGACCCAGAAGTAACTTCCGGGTTTCGCTGCTCGCGCATGCGCAGACGCTCAAATGTGATTAGATGAGTTATTTTGTCATTTCTTACCCTTGTTCCAAACTAATACAGCCTACATTTTGTTACACAGGTAATGTTGCATGTATGCATTCTCTTCACATTTTATTCACCTCATATGGAAATAGATGTAGAATGGAATTCTGTTTTATTTAATTTTGTTAGCTCAATGATTAATTCCTGGGGAAGGAAACGTGATGTATACTGGAACTACATCCAAATGTTGAGCAACTATCTTTTGCTACATTGCATTTCCCTATTTTATCACATCCCAACCCTGTTGTGTTGTTGATGCACTCAGGTTTGGCAGCCCATGAATAAATCACCATAATTCAAGATGTATCCTCCTCAAGAACTCAGGGAAAGGGCAAGAACTTGCCAGATTTGGTTCCATACTTCTTTCTAACAACAAAGCCAAGGAATGGAATATTTAAAGCTACTCACGGTCCAACAGAAGAGTGAATTTCTGTGCCATCTGTGCAAGAGAGGCAGATGCCATTCAGAGATGTTTCATCTTTAAGTATTTGAAAACGATGCCATGGGTCTACCTGGAGAAGAAAAGAAGCTGCAATAAGACCACGTGTGATTGCAATAAGACCACAAAGCACTGCATTTTCAGGAGGAATTTCACACACACTAGTTTGGCAGGCTGAATTTGACAGTATTGTACAGAGCTTGGAAAGTTTGATTCGAAAAGGATCTCATTTTACATGCCCCCAAAAGAACTAATTCCAGTTCATGTTTGCCCCTTTACAAAATGAACTATTTCAGTTCACAGTTCAATTCAAGTATGTCCTCGGCAAAAAATATATCGGCCTCCAGAATGTCACAAGCTGTTATATTGATGCATAAAATTTGCTTAAGAAGACTAAGGAACCATCATTCCACACACAGCAGAATACAAATAGTTTGATTTCTTTCCCCTCAAAAATATGATATTTAAGCTTAAATGCCCAAAGGGTCTAAGGTGTAAATAACACACGTAAGAGAAGGACCTTGAAGATGAACTAGAAATCATTCAAAAGTTCTGCCTCAAAATGAACTGAATTCATGTTACGCTCCCCCAGCAATTATGGGAACTATGTTCAGGTGTAATTGGCATGGTGCAATATCATCATCATCATGTATTAAATTTCTATACTACCCTTCATCTGAAGATCACAGGGTGGTTTGCAATGTGAAAACACAAGAATAGATGCCATGATAACAAACCAAAACAATACCCACCAACGGTATAATTAGCCAAAGGCCTGGGAGAAGAGGAATGCTTTTGCCAGGCACCTAAAGATATGTAACGGAGGCACCAGGCAAACGTCTCTGGGCAGAGCATTCCACAGGTAAGGAGCCACCACATAAAAGACCCATTCTTGTATTGTTGCCCTCCAGACTTCGCACAGAGAAGGCACATGAAGAAGAACCTCAAATGCTGAAGGGCCCTAGTGTTCCACCAGTACGTTTGCATCATAATGACCTCACCACCAAGCAACTTAGTCAGATGGAGGTCAGCTGAGCAGAGCCGCCCCAGGACTCTGTCCATTCATACTTATTGTCACAGCTACTTGGCACCAAGGTGCCTGAAAAGGAGGACACAAGGAGGTATCTACCTTCAATGTGAATCCATTTGCATACCCTTTGCGACAGAATTCTATGGGTCCCCATTCACCCCATGGCCCTCCATTTGGCACTGAGAGTTCAATTGTATAGTTTCGGGTTTTTGCATCCGAGAGGTAGCTGGAGAAAATCAAGAAGAGCGCAGTACCTATAGAGAGGTCCATGGAAGGTAGCTCACCGCAGATCTAGCAGCAAAAGCACAAGTGGGAAAATAATAGCCATGAGAATTTTGAACCCCAAATCCCTGAATCCCGTTTTTCAGAATATGTGGTTGCTTTTGGCTGATACAGCAGATTCACTGGCTGGCTTTTCTAATTCTAGTTTGAGTCCTATGAGCAACCCAGGAGTTAATTGGATTGGGACCAGGGCAAAGCTCAGCAGGCAACCAGGAAATGCTTTTAGAAAAAGTGAACGGTAGAACAATAATGGATGGATTTTACCTAACTCTGAGCAATTATTGTTGGTTCTCAGGAATTCCTAAGCATTGTTAAGAAAGGTTTGATTCATATTGTTTATTTTAAATTATTTATATGCTGCTTTTCCAGCCAAATCCTGTCCGAAGTAAATCACAGCAATAAAAACCTACAAGTTTATTAGTAAAACCTAAAACAGAATAGAGACACAAAAATAAATAAATCGAAAGACTCAGCAACCCAAAAGCACAACTTCCATCCCGTGAGAGGGAAGGCCAATCAAGCCATATAAGTCTTGAATGCCTTTCAAGATGCCTGAAGGTTAGTCACCCTACTAGGAAGAAAATCGAAAGAGGTGGAGCCAGCACAGAAAAGACCCTGTATGATAATAAAAGATGGATTTATTATTTTTTCACTCACCTTTTGTGAATAACAGCACAGCTGGAATTTATTGTTATTCTTTGTTTTCTAGCTTTACCTCATTCGGTTCTGGCCACTGTCCAAGCTTCTATGATTATGAACAGGAGGCAGCCCTTGCCCTCCTTTCTCCCTTCAGCAAGCTGTTCCATGCAGTGCTTCACTGCAGTCAATTATCCTACGTGGGAAAGACTTTGAGCTGCGATGTTTATATTAATGTGGGCAGGGCAGCAACCAGGAACAGGAAAAAGGAGGTGTGGGAGTTTTCCTCCTGAGCAGTACCTGCCATGCTCTGCAGCTCCATGACTGGACAGAACTGGGCAGTGTAAAGCTCATGCCTTTCTCCAAGGCACTAAAATAATTATCACAACAGCCATAAGATCCCTGGCCAAATTTAAAATGCAATATTAAACAATCACAGGAATAGGGTGAGCCCTGAAAATATATATCTGGGGTGTCAAAGGCCAGCGTGAAGAGTCTTGTGGCATTCGGGAGCCTAAATGGACGAGTACCAAGTCGTTCAAGAACCAAGGTACAGCCGTAGCCTGTGGTAGTCACCGAGCCGGCTATTTTAAATTACCCTTAATGTACTGGTAAAGCTCTATGCAATGTATTGATGTCATACGTCGGTGGTCTAAGGCATTACAGTTTAGGCAACTTAAGATGGCAGGCTGGGTGGCAACCATGATGGATACCAAGCTTAACTCCTACCTATTGCCCACTTAAGGTCGAGGAGTTTGTTTTAGAGAGGGGTGTGTGTGTGTGTTTTATTGGTAGGAGGACTAGGGAAACCTCAGTTGCTTCACCTAATGACATTTCCCAGAATGTCTATACAATTATACAATTGAACTCTCAGTGCCAAATGGAGGGCCATGGGGTGAATGGGGACCCATAGAATTCTGTCGCAAAGAGCCAATGCAATTCTGGGCTGCATCAATAGGAGTATAGCATCTAGATCAAGGGAAGTAATAGTGCCACTGTATTCTGCTCTGGTCAGACCTCACCTGGAGTACTGTGTCCAGTTCTGGGCACCACAGTTCAAGAAGGACACTGACAAACTGGAACGTGTCCAGAGGAGGGCAACCAAAATGGTCAAAGGCCTGGAAACGATGCCTTATGAGGAACGGCTAAGGGAGCTGGGCATGTTTAGCCTGGAGAAGAGGAGGTTAAGGGGTGATATGATAGCCATGTTCAAATATATACGGTAAAAGGATGTCACATAGAGGAGGGAGAAAGGTTGTTTTCTGCTGCTCCAGAGAAGCGGACACGGAGCAATGGATCCAAACTACAAGAAAGAAGATTCCACCTAAACATTAGGAAGAACTTCCTGACAGTAAGCGCTGTTCGACAGTGGAATTTGCTGCCAAGGAGTGTGGTGGAGTCTCCTTCTTTGGAGGTCTTTAAGCAGAGGCTTGACAACCATATGTCAGGAGTGCTCTGATGGTGTTTCCTGCTTGGCAGGGGGTTGGACTCGATGGCCCTTGTGGTCTCTTCCAACTCTATGATTCTATGATTCTAAAGACATGACCATTAAGTCTGGTGTAAAACTGATGCCTTTCTCCATGGCACTAAGACAGGGGTCAGCAACGTTTTTTGAAGACCATGGGCCATAGGTTGCTGACCTCTGCACTAAGATAATAACAACAACCATAAGATCACAGGGTGAATTACAAGAATTTGAAATACAATATTAAATCATTTAAAACAAATGACAGTCACAGTAATAGGGTGGGTCCTCTGTTTGTTTGTGTGTGTGTGTGTGTATATGAAGTGTCAAAGACCAGGGTGAAGAGGAGTGTCTTCAGCATATGGGGGGGGAGAACTCTAAAATTATATTGCCAAACACACCTCTCTGGGGACAGAATTTCACAGTCTAGGAGCTGCTATTTCCTGGGTCACCACCATCCCAAGCATCGGAAGGCAGTGGAAGTATCAAGGGGAGCCCCTCTGCTGATCTTGACATCTGAGAGCGTCTATAGATAAAGAGCTGCTCTCTGAGATATTTGGGGGCCTAAGTCATTTGGGGATTTATGTGAGCACCTTCAACTGAGCCTTCAACAAAATAGCAAATATGATTCAATGTAATGTGATACCTATTGGGAGCATATTGGGAGGGGTGATCCTTGAGTGCCAGCGTGGTGTAGTGGTTAAGAGCGGTGGACTCGTAACCTGGTGAACTGGGTTCGCGTCCCCGCTCCTCCACATGCAGCTGCTGGGTGACCTTGGGCTAGTCATACTTCTCTGAAGTCTCTCAGCCCCACTCACCTCACAGAGTGTTTGTTGTGGGGGAGGAAGGGAAAGGAGAATGTTAGCCGCTTTGAGACTCCTTTGGGTAGTGATAAAGCGGGATATCAAATCCAAACTCTTCTTCTTCTTCTAAGATTCCAAATGATGTCTTAAACAGCACCGACTCATGATGGAAGAGATCTTGGGATCATGGTAGATGGCTCAACTAAAATATCAACTCAGAGTGCATCACCCATTAAAAAGGCAAATTCCATGCTGGAGATCATTAGGAAATTGGGGAGTGGGGACATATCACAAAGCCTTTGTGGAAATCTATTGTGCTTGGAATGCTGTATATAGTTCTGGTTGCCACATTTCAAAAAAGGTGGTGTAGAACTGGAAAAGCTGCAGAAATGGGCAATCAAAATGATCATGAGGCTGAAGCAACTTCCCATGAGGAAAAATGTTTTAATATAAAGGGGGGAAATGAGATTTTTTATAAGTATGCATGGTGTGGAGATATGTTATTATTTTTACCTCTCTCATAATACTGAACCCTGGGGGTGAATCTCATAGTTTTAAAGAGTAAGTAGTAAAGTAGTAAAGAGTAAGTAAGGGACGCGGGTGGCACTGTGGGTTATATATTTAAATATACCTTTCTGAAGAAACCAGAGGCCTTTCTCCTGGGCATGGTTGGCCAATTGGTGTTAAAGAAGGATAGAACTTTCTTTATGTATGCTACAACAGCAGCAAGAATACTTATTGCAAAGTATTGGAAGACACAAGATTTACCCACTCTGGAAGAATGGCAGATGAAGGTGATGGACTATATGGAACTGGCGGAAATGACTGGCAGAATCCGAGACCAGGGAGAAGAGTCGGTGGAAGAAGATTGGAAGAAATTTAAAAACTATTTACAGAAACACTGTAAAATTAAAGAATGTTAGAATGATGGGCTGAAAGATTGGCTACTTCTTGAAAATACGGACATTTTGGACCTAGAAGGTTTTGATAATGTGTTTGGATGGCATGCATATTTATGGTACGACAAGGTTAAAGCGCATAAGGCCTTTAAGAACCATATTGTCAGGAAAGCATTGTTTAATGTTTGGGTGAGATATAAGGATTTGTTGGAAAGTAAAACACCAAGGTGGCTGTCACCAATGGAGGCTAAGGCATTGAAAAAAACTAATATGGAGACAAATTGGCCAAAATACTGTGAAATTTTAGAACAAGTTGGAGATAAACTAAAGTTGCAGAGCTTTGACAAACTAAAAACTAAAGTTCGAGACTGGCTTCATTATTATCAAATAAGGGAGGCTTTTAACCTAGATAAAAAGATTGGTTTCCAGGAGGAAAAATCCAAACTGGAAACGGAATTGTTAGAGCCTAAAATTAAGAACCTGTCAAGAATGTATAACTTGTTGCTGAAATGGAATACACAGGATGAAACGGTTAAATCTGCTATGATTAAATGGGCACAAGATGTTGGACATAATATTATGTTTGCTGACTGGGAATGGTTATGGACCACAGGTATGAAATTTACGGCTAGTAATGCCTTAAGAGAAAATATAATGAAAATGATTTATAGGTGGTACTTAACCCCAGTCAAGCTAGCAAAAATCTATCATTTGCCCAATAATAAATGTTGGAAATGTAAAGAAAACGAAAGTACTTTCTTTCACCTTTGGTGGACGTGCCCAAAGATCAAGGCCTTCTGGGAAATGATATATAATGAATTAAAAAAGGTATTGAAATATACTTTTCTAAAGAAACCAGACGCCTTCCTCTTGGGCATGGTCGGCCAATTGGTGCGAAGGGAAGATAGAACTTTTTTCATGTATGCGACAGCAGCAGCAAGAATACTCATTGGGAAATACTGGAAGACACAAGAATTGCCTACCCGAGAAGAATGGCAGATGAAAGTCATGGACTATATGGAACTGGCTGAGATGACCGGCAGAATTCGAGACCAGGGAGAAGGATCGATGGAAGAAGACTGGAAAAAATTTAAAATATATCTTCAAAAATACTGCAACATAAAAGAATGTTAGAAAGAGGTTGGAAAAAGAATATTAGGTCGTTTTGGCAGATATGACATAATGGATTAAGTAAAAATGAAGTATAGAAATTGAGGATAGAGGAGGATTAATTATATTATTGAATGTTAAAATAAGTAAATGAAAAGAAGGTTAGAAGGATTTGCTGGAAATACGATTTAAACTAGAATACAAAGCAGGGAGGTGAGAGGAGGTCACGGAAATAAGTAAAAGGAAAAAAGGTTGTAAAGGTTTAATTTGATTTTTGTTTTATTTTATGGTAATGTATTTTTATATTTTTTGTTGAGTTTTTCTTACTGTCTGTTTTTTGTTATATGTTTATTCTATTTTGTATGGTTTTTTCTTTTTTTTGTAATCCTAAAATTGGAATAAATATCTTATATAAAAAAAAAAGAATGTTAGAATGATGTTGGATTGAAGTTAAGTGGTTTTTAGCAGCAATGTTATAAAGGAATATGTAAAAATGGATTGTTAACAGGTGATAATCTAAAGTTATAATATACTAAGATAAAAGATTAAGATAAAATCAAAGAGGGAAAGGAATTGCTGAACTAACTAATTGAACTGGAATACAAAAAAGGGAGGTGTGAGGAGGTCAGGGAAACAAGCAAATGAAAGATAAGATATGGAAAGATTGATTTGTTTTTAACTGTTTTTACTTTGTATTTTCATTTTTTTTGTTTTCTTTTACTTTTTTCTCTTATTTTTGTAATATGCTGAAACTTTAATAAATATCTTATAAAAATAAAAAATAAACCACAGAGCCTAGGACTGTGCTGATCAGAAGGTCGGTGGTTCAAATCCCAGCGACGGGGTGAGCTCCCGTTGCTCAGTCCCTGCTCCTGCCAACCTCGCAGTTTGAAAGCACCTCAAAGTGCAAGTAGACAAATAGGTACCACTCTGGTGGGAAGGTAAACGGCGTTTCCGTGCGCTGCTCTGGTTCACCAGAAGCAGCTTAGTCATGCTGGCCACATGACCTGGAAGCTGTACGCTGGCTCCCTCAGCCAATAAAGCG